CGATTAATTGCTGCGGTAAAGTAACATAGATGGCTTGTTGTATTTGTGACATTTTTTTTTCAGTTTCTTCCATTCTTGTGATATCTTCATCTGTGTTGACAGTCTTTTTATGTCGGTGAAAAATTTTTTCGAATATTCTTCTACTGTGTCAGCCGATTTTTTTTAGACTTCTTGGAGAAAGATTCCATATTCCACCTCATATCTTGTTTGAGGGTTCAAGATTTTTCGCTGTTCCAAATCTTCATCTAGTTCTGTGAGTTAGTTCTTCAAAGGAGGACTTGTTCGTTTCCTTCAGGCTCTTTTCTAGCTGTTTGTTGCTGAACTATATTCTTCCATTCTGTTGTATCGAACTTCTTCCTGTGGAAGTTTCTTGTACCTCATCTGCTGGCTTTGTCATATATTCCAGAACCGTTTTCAACAATTTCCCTATCTATACGTCATTCGGATTCATAAGCCTTGTGTTCTTTTTTCGTTTCCGTCTCCTATTTTTTCTACGCGTTTCATGACGAAAGTTGGAATTGTATTTAGCCTGACATCAAATATCTCGGAGTAAATTCGTTCATGTCATTTGGATGATATGCTATTAAATCATATCTCTTACGAGCTTGTATTTTCCAGGTTTGAGATTATATCCGTTTTGGTGCTGAGCCATAAAGCTAATAGGTCGGGTCAGTATTTCCATCCTTGAACTTTCTAATAGCTCTTATATCTGTCACTAAGTCAACCTATCTGGAAACCACTCTCTTTTAAGCATTTTTAAGAATCTTGTTTCCTTGTTCTCTACTTTCTTTTATTCCTTGCTCTGTTTGTGTTGTTGTTGTGGTGGATTTTGAACTGTTGGTTGTTGTGCTGGATTTTGAACTGTTGGTTGTTGTGCAGGGTTTTGAACTGTTGGTGTGTAGTTGGTTTTGGTGCATATGCTGTGTCTTGTCCCATGTGACCATAAATTCTAGGTAGTCCTGGTGCAAATGCTTTCTCTTGGAGGGTTGTGTATATAAGTTCCACCAGCTGGCACATATGTTCCATCTGCAGCGTAATGTCCTACCTGACTTTTTCGTTCTTAAGAAAGCATTTACTAGGTCTGTTTTGGTCTGTTGTAACTCTTTTTCTTGACTTTCCACAACAGTTGCTCTATACGGAGCAGTTCAAAAAAAATTTTTTTTTTTTAAAAAAAGGGGGGGGGGGGGCCACTTTGAACTGCATTTAGGTGAAGAGGTGAGATCTCACCTGTTTTCTCACCTGTTTTCTCACCTCTTTTTTTCACAACCGTTTTACATGGTAAACGTTATTTTTGGAATTTTGTGAAAACTCAACGGTTTGACACATGCCCTAAAAATTATTTTACTCAGAATTTTTTGCTGAATTCCGTATGAAATTTCATGAGTTTTGTGTGTTTTAGACCATGTGAGAAAAGAGGTGAAAAAAACAGGTGAGATCTCACCTCTTCACCTAAAATATATTTTTGCTGAATTCCGTATGAAATTTCATGAGTTTTGTGTGTTTTAGACCATGTGAGAAAAGAGGTGAAAAAACAGGTGAGATCTCACCTCTTTTTTTCACAAGCGTTTTACATGAATTGTACGATGTATATTTGAAATCCTAAACAGTTTTGTAGCTTCTATTTCTTCTTTTAGTACATCGAATGTTTTAACAATGCCGAAAGTTTCTTTATATTTCTTCTTGACGTCAGATAGAAGGAAATCTTCTGCTGTTGGATAGTTTTTGTCAAGACTTCATTGTAAATGACCAAAAATATATTTTATGTTAGCATGTTAGATCTAACACGTTTTCTCACCTGTTTTCTAACATGGTCTAAAACTCTCGAAAATCATGAAATTTCATACGGAATTCAGCAAAAATATATTTTAGGGTAGATGGTTAGATCTAACCTCATTTCTAACCTCTTTTCTACCCCAGTTATTTTATAAGCGTTTTACATGGTAAACGTTATGAATTCGTGAGACTCTAAACAGTTTTGTAGCCTCTATTTCTTCTTTTAGTACATCGAATGTTTTAACTATGCCGAAGGTTTCTTTATATTTCTTCTTGACGTCAGATAGAAGGAAATCTTCTGCTGTTGGATAGTTTTTGTCAAGACTTCATTGTAAATGACCAAAAATATATTTTAGGTGAAGAGGTTAGATCTAACCTCATTTCTACCCTCTTTTCTAACATGGTCTAAAACACACAAAACTCATGAATTTTCAAGACTTCATCGAACTTAAATGTTTTGTCAAGACTTTGTCATATGATTGCTTCTCTCGGTTTTCCGAGGGAAGAGATTCCATGTTTTGTCAAGACTTCATTGTAAATGACCAAAAATAAAGTTTAGGTGAAGAGGTGAGATCTCACCTGTTTTCTCACCTCTTTTCTCACCTGTTATTTTATAAGCGTTTTACATGGTAAACGTTATGAATTCGTGAGACTTTAAACAGTTTTGTAGCTTCTATTTCTTCTTTTAGTACATCGAATGTTTTAACTATGCCGAAGGTTTCTTTATATTTCTTCTTGACGTCAGATAGAAGGAAATCTTCTGCTGTTGGATAGTTTTTGTTCAGAAATGCTAACATGTCCATTTTATTTTCTACCAGCTTCTCTGCTTCTTTCTTTAAATCTGCATAGTCGTTTCTCATTCTTTCTATCTCTTTGACGGAGTAGTTATATCTCCTCATTGCTGCTTTACATTTAGAACATTGCGGGTTCATTTTTGCGTTATATTCTGAAACCTTACCAGCTAAAACAACTAAAGCGTCAATTGCTCTCTTCATCTCAAACATAGCGGGTCTTATTTGTTTGTTCCATACTTTGCCTCTTCTATCTTTATCTCTTATCTGCCATACACATTCAGCAACTAACGAAACAAAGTTGTCGTAGGTCTTAAATTCTTCAGATTTATATATGTCAGAAACATTCTTATATACCATATCGCAATCTTTGTCCATAACCTTATGGTTGCAATGAAATCCTAGAAACTCATAGTTTACCTTTCGTATGAACTTCTTTATTTCTACTGAGTCAGTTGCTTTGACTTCTATTTCGTCGAATTCAGGAATAGTGAGTTTTTGTTGTTGGATTTCAGGCAATTTGGGTAAATGGTCGATGAGGTCCTGCATTTCATAAAGATACTGTTCATTTGTTTCATCTTTCGCACTACAGTCTAAATTACATGTTAAAAGTTCTTGCTTTATCTTCTGGATTTCTGTTTCAAAAGTATATGAAGAAGGAATGAAGCTTTTCATCTCTACTAACATAGATGTTGGATTCATGACTAAAGAGTTTGGTGCTGTTGTTTGTATTGCTGTTGTGCCGATTGTTGAAATCATATCTTTTATACAAAATAAAAAAAATAAAAAAAATAAAACTAACTTTATTTTTTTTATTTCGGGAAAATTCATGAAAATTTAAGAGGTGAAAAAAGAGGTGAAAAAACAGGTGAGATCTCACCTCTTCACCTAAACATTATTTTTGGGTCCTTTACACTCATTACGATGAAGTCTTGACAAAACATTTACGAAGAAGTCATGAAAATTCAAGAGGTAAAAAAAGAGGTGAAAAAAGAGGTGAAAAAACATTTACGAAGAAGTCTTGACAAAACATTTACGAAGAAGTCATGAAAATTCAAGAGGTGAAAAAAGAGGTGAAAAAAGAGGTGAGATCTAACCTCTTCACCTAAACATTCTCGTCAAATACAAAAAAATGACACTTTTTCATTAGATAACTGTTATTTTTTGACGAAGTGAAGATTGACACTTCGTCAAAAAAATCCCTGAAATCATGTCTTTACATACAAAATAAAAAAATAAAACTAACTTTATTTTTTCTATCTTAAGGAAATTCATGACAAATTCAAGAGGTGAAGAGGTGAGATCTCACCTGTTTTCTCACCTGTTTTTTCACCTAAACATTATTTTTGGGTCCTTTACACTCATTACGAAGAAGTCTTGACAAAACATTTACGAAGAAGTCATGAAAATTCAAGAGGTGAAAAAACAGGTGAGATCTCACCTCTTCACCTAAACATTATTTTTGGGTCCTTTACACTCATTACGATGAAGTCTTGACAAAACATTTACGAAGAAGTCATGAAAATTCAAGAGGTTAGAAAACAGGTGAGAAAACAGGTTAGATCTAACCATCTACCCTAAATTATATTTTTGGGTCCTTTACACTCATTACGAAGAAGTCTTGACAAAACATTTACGAAGAAGTCATGAAAATTCAAGAGGTTAGAAAACAGGTGAGAAAACAGGTTAGATCTAACCATCTACCCGACATTCTCGTCAAATGAAAAAATGACACTTTTTCATTAGATAACTGTTATTTTTTGACGAAGTGAAGGTTTACACTTCGTCAAAAAAATCCCTGAAATCATATCTTTTATACAAAAAAATACAAAATAAAACTAACTTTATTTTTTCTATCTTAAGGAAATTCATGAAAATTCATGAGGTTAGAAAACGTGTTAGAAAACGTGTTAGATCTAACATTCTAACATAAATTATATTTTTGGTCCGGGAACAACTTTCTCTCAATTGGAGCTGTGGCATACTCTTTGCGTAAGCGGTTCAGACCTTCTTCGAACTCTTGGTCTCTCTTCGATTTGGATTGAGATTGGAATTGCTGGGGTGGAGCTTGCTGGAACATCCAAGGGTTGGGGAAGTAAGGCATAGGCTGAGGAGGGTAGTTCGGGAAGCCTTGTGGTGGGTAGTAACCTTGAGGTGGAAATTGGTAGAAATTCGGAGGTACTTGCTGGAACTGAGGTTGCTGAGGAGACTGTTGTGGTTCTTTAGGTTCCTCTGGTTTGGGAATGGACTCGGTTGGTGGTACATCGGACATCCGTTTGTGGCTTAACCGTCGGACCACAACGATAAAAATCTCTGCTACTAGCAGTACTGCTACTGACAGTAGCAGTACTTTTACTGACAGTAGCAGTACTTTTTCTGACAGTAGCAGTACTTTTTCTGACAGTAGCAGTACTTTTACTGACAGTAGCAGTACTTTTACTGACAGTAGCAGTACTTTATCGTCGAAAACCCTCTCAAATTTTCCTTTTTACTGACAGTAGCAGTACTTTTACTGACAGTAGCAGTACTTTTACTGACAGTAGCAGTACTTTTACTGACAGTAGCAGTACTTTTTCTGACAGTAGCAGTACTTTTACTGACAGTAGCAGTACTTTTACTGACAGTAGCAGTACTTTTACTGACAGTAGCAGTACTTTTACTGACAGTAGCAATGGACAACATCGAGCCATTAGATGAGGCAGTTTACCTAATTGAAATTAACGAGCTTGTTAAAGACTTCCTCAGGCAGAATGTAAAAGGCAAGCTTGTTAGCGGTTGGATAACGGGAAGGGCTGCCTTGAATCTCGAGACTTCGACTGGAATTCCAATTGAGGTACCAGACGGGACAGCCTACGACGACATAAAACAAGCAAAGAAGGAAGCCATTATAAAGTTCTTTGCCAAGCGTCCTTGGATACTACTTCCAAACAGAGAGAGTCCAATTCCACGAATTATACAAATTCTCAGAGCACTGTTCCACTTCTCGGGTCAGCCGTTCTACATAACCTGTGAAGGCGACATCCAACCAGTTCAGTAAACATCTCATTTTAACTTCACTTTTTTATGTTTTTTGTGAAAGTGTCAAAAATAAATTGTTTTCATGAGTTTTCTACGATGTTAGAAAAGTGGTTAGAAAACGTGTTAGATCTAACATGCTAACATAAACATTATTTTTCAATACTTTTTCAGCACTTTTCCGTAGTTATAGATGAAAGACAATTCGAGATAAAAGTCATAGTACAATGGAATAATATGTTGCACACCATTTGTTGTGAACCAAACTTGAAAGTCAGAGAAACTGTTACTAGGTGGTTCGTAGAATTTAGAAGCAAAGTCATAAAAGTCCTTACCAATACATAGAAAACTATTGTTGCTTGAACTGAAACTTGCATGACACATAACATTTTGAGGGTCAAACACGTTTCTATAAACTGTCAAATCTGCTGGTGGAAGTATAAATTTAAATGGACCATCTGGTGGTAATGGTTCGTTCTGGTTTAGTAACCGAAGAAATTGTGCCCAAGAACGTTTGTCTACTTTCCAAAATAAAAACTCTGTATCTCTTGGAGGGTTAATTTCAATCTTTTGAAATGAAACGGTGGAGTTCATCTTGTCATATTCTAGTTTCAGATAGTATGTTCCATTTAGTAAAGAGTCGTATTTTTCTTGAAATTCCCAATAATATTTGTTCATTTGAGTTTGAAAGTCATTTAGAGTTTTCTCAAGACTTTCGTCTGAACGAACTGTAAAGATTCTCATTTCGTCAAATTTGTCTATTAGACCATCAGAACCTTTATACTGCCCATGAAAATATACTGCGAACATAAATGCGTTAGTTCTATTTGAAAACAAAACTCTTCTAAATCCTATTGCCTTTGCATCTGAAGGACTTTGAAGCCAACGAATTGGATAGTCAAACCTGTATACTCGGGATGAAATTTCTTCATCTGAAATAGTCCTACCAGCATTTGTAAAGATATAGTCTAACGGTTTTGTATCTGCTACTTTTGTTCTTTGTTTTTCAACCTGAAGCATTTAATATATGTAAAAATATATTGTTTTAAAATGGTATGCCATTTCATATTTCTCATCTAACAAACAAGTTTCCCAACGGTCTTCTCCAACAAACTCAGCGTACATTTCAAATAAAATAAAAAAATGTCACTTTTTAAAAATAAATTTTTACTTCATGCAATGTTTAACACATCGAAAGGCATGTCCATAAGACGTTCTTCTTCTAACCTCTCTAGTCTGTTTGGATAATTGGCACGTGCTGTTTCCAAATCCATTTCGTAGGTCAGACCAGCCAGTTTGTCATAGACTTTTATGGGTCTTCCCTTCCTATATTTAAAATTCTTCGAAACTCTCCAACCATATCTTTGCAACTCTGCTTTTATTCTAGCAGATTTTCTATCCATTCTATATGGGGCATTTTTATAAAAATAAAAAAATATTTTTTTCTTTACTTTACATAACCGCCTGCTGCCATAAGTCTTTGACGCCAACCCATACCAGCTAATGAAGGTTGACTTGGTTTAGTTTGGAAACTAAACTTTGGTTTTGGTTTTATCTTCAGTTTTTGGTTTTTCTTCTTCTATCGGTTTTTCGTCACTTTTTCGGTTTCTCTGACTTTACTTCACTTGCAGGAACAGTTGTGTCGTCAACATCTTTCATAAATATCATATGCCATTTGTTTTTGTTTTCCTTTCAACTTTTTGTGTTTGTTGTAAAGTTTAGAATATTTCGACTCTAAGTCAATGAGATGTTCTATAATGAACTGTTGGTCAGTGAAGTAAACTTTTCCATCTGTTGTCTCGAAAGCTCCTTCAGACTTCAATATTTTATTTGTGAGAGTCTGTTTCTTTTTTGAGATACTTGCCGTTCCATTTTTATGAAAAGTGACTTTGTAGTTAGGGTTTGTATTTCCAGACCTGGCACTTTCTATTATTGAATTTTTCTCTTCATCTGTAAGTTCTTTGACAGGTTTTGACAATGGTTCTGAACTTTTTGTTTGTGGTGTCAAATCTACCGTTTCAACTTCTTCGGTCATTTCATCTCAGTAAAAAATTTTAGTTTGGTTTGTTTTCAACTGGTTGTTGTTGTTTTTTAAGTCGGTCTAAAACTTCCTGAGGTATAGGAAGAACTTGACAAACACGTGGTGTAACTGCTGGAAGCCGACAAATCCATCTTGAACCCATTTGTCTCAATGCTGTATTGTTCATTTCATCTCAGTAAAAAACTTTACATTCCCCACGTTTGAGGCGGTTGAGGTTGGTTATTGTTTACCCATTGTTGTGCATGGTTATATCCTCTGTTAAAGAATCTTTCACCTTGGTCCATATAGTGTCCTGCTTGGTTATAGTAGTCATTTGCTTTGTTATAATAGTTTCCTGCTTGTCTTCCTACATTGTCCATCCATCCTTGAACTTTTCCTCTTGTTTCAGGATTTGGAATAAGATTTGTTGCATCTCGTGCTACATCCCAACCTTTCTGTACAGTTTGTATAATAGGTTGTGCTTTCTCTTTAAGTATACCTAATGTACTCAAAATCTTCCTTCCAACTCCAAATACACCTCTGGCTATTGTTCCCACTGCGGGCAAAAATCTGGATGCAACTCCTGCTAATGCGCCAAATAAACCCATTTCTTATAGGATAAAAAATGACGAATCCAAACAAGGACCCCTATGTTTCTAAAGCAACAAAGAAAGCACTCATGATAAAAATTTTTAGTTCAACACCAAATGCTTGGTTTATGGATATCTTGGAAAACATTCCGAGAGTTAGAACAGATGGACCACCATACTGGCTAATATTTGTCGGTCAAAACACAAGATACTGTGAAGCCATACCATTATGGTCCAAAAATATTTTAGATGTGAAAACTGCTTTGACAATATTCGTTGACAAATACCATCCAACAAAACTGACATCTGACTGTGAAAGTTCTTTCAAATCAGATGATGTAAAAAACTATCTGCGTTCAAAAAATGTAAACCAATGTTTCATTGTCGACCAAAACCATTCTGCTCTTGGTGTCATTGACGGTTGTATAAAAATGTTAAGAGACTTAAACCAACCACAAGGTGGTGAAGCAAATGAAATGTCATATGACGACAAATATAGACACTTCTCCATGGCAAAGATGAGACAAGTTTTAAATATTTACAATAGCCGTAAACAAAAAGGTTTGGGAAACCACTCCCCGAAGAAATGAAAAACAACCCTGACTTAGAGAAAGACTATATATTTAATAATTTAGTCAAAAGAGACAAACAAGAAAGAATGCCGGGCTTCAAACTTCAGAAAGGTGACAAAGTAAAAATAGAAATACCTAAACGCGACCCATATGAAAATACTATTGACTATGACAACAATGGGAACCCGACAGGTACTCACATTCGTGTTCGTAAAAATAGAAGAAAGTATACAAGAGAATATTATGAAGTTTTAGGCAAACATGGCAAAATGTACACACTGCAAGCAGAAGATAAAACTACTATTGTCAGACCTCGTTTCAAACTTGTCAAAGTTCAAGGTGGTATACTTTCAAAGACAGTTCCTAACAAATATAAGACAACTCCTGACGAATATGCTAAAGAAGTTGAAAATGACGACTAAGCAATTCTATACCATGCGTAAACTGTCATGTAAGGTGGCATGTATTCTTTACTTTGTCCCGTTGTTTGCGTATATCCTGAAACGTGATGTGTATGGTTTCCTTTTCCCTGAGTGTCATCCCAGTAACAATTTATAGCAAACTTAACGTCGTCTTTAACATCATATCCTTGACCTTTTGTCATTCCTGACCAATCCCAATATCTATGCTTATGCCAACCTGCTTGAGATGTACTTAAATCTATGTAGTGACTGTGTGCAGGTAAATTTTCACCTGAAATCGTTTTACTTCCACCTGTTTCCTTTGAAGAGTTTGCACAATACAAAAACCTGTCGACTATTTGTTCCCATGCACCAACACCAAACATTACTTGAGGACCTCTTGCTTCCATAGATGTATAAATAGAACCTACTGGGTTCATTAAATCAAACATATGAGACATTATAGGATTGTCTCTTTTGAACTTAAAATATAGTGCAACTATTTCAGGTTTCTTCTGGTTTGTGTAAGAATATTTTTTATAATATAATCTTATGTTTTCAGGGTAGGTAAAATCTTGACTATAATATTTATTTCTGTCATCTATATAATAATATACTATTCTCGTTTTTTCTATTGCATTATATCTTTTATATCTATAATAATCTAAATATAATGTTTGCTTTTGTTCATCTGCATGTAGTGTTCCTTCGTCATCTACATAGTCATAATAATATGGTGCTGGAGCTGGGTCAGGCAATGTCATATCTGCCATTTCATAAACTCGGAAATATTTCTTTTGTTCGTCTCCATATAAGTTTAAGTAGCAGTTGTTGTCTAATGGAACTTTAACTTGTGTACCATCATTCTTTATATAGCTTACATACATTTCATTGTTATTTTTCGGAATGAGTTTATACGTATTACCATTTCTTAAGGACTGTACAAACTGCCATCTAAAATATTTATTTTCTTCATTGACAGAAAGTCACAACAATAGTTTCAATATTTTTTGTTTTCCTATCAAACTTTGGTATATTCATTGACATATGTTTTATCTGCTTTCTTTTTCAAGGCTAACGTTTAAGTCTGTTATTTCAGAAGATGTATGTGTATGTCCAACGGCACTTTTCCTGTTTAAGGTTTCTTGTAAGTTTGTAATATTTGCAATGGTATGTGTATGTCCAACGGCACTTTTCCTGTTTAAGGTTTCTTGTAAGTTTGTAATATTTGCAATGGTATGTGTAGTCCAACGGCACTTTTCCTGTTTAAGGTTTCTTGTAAGTTTGTAATATTTGCAATGGTATGTGTATGTCCAACGGCACTTTTTCCTGTTTAAGGTTTCTTGTAAGTCTGTTATTTCAGATATAGAATGTGTATGTCCAACGGCACTTTCCTGTTTAAGGTTTCTTGTAAGTTTGTAATATTTGCAATGGTATGTGTATGTCCAACGGCACTTTTACTGTTTAAGGTTCTTGTAAGTCTGTTATTTCAGATATAGAATGTGTATGAGTCTTTTTAGAATATTCGTTTTCAGCTCTTGTCACTTCACTTGACATTTTATTTCAACATATGTTTTGTCTGCTAGTTCAGGATGAGTATGTTCTTTTGTTGCATAAGCATTGTTAGCTCTTTCTTCTTCTTTTGCTATTGCATCGTCTACATATTCTTTGTCAGCTTTGTTGTCAACATCTGCTTTCAAAAGAAGTTCATTTATAGGTTTCTCGTTTAAAGTTCCTTTTGTTGGATTTATACAGACAGTATTGTTCTTCTTGTCTTGAAATAGAAACTCATCTGTCATTGGGTTTAATGTCAGTTTTAAGTTTCCTTCTTTCAATGACTCAGATATCTTAGAATAGTTTGAAAAGTTTGTTTGTTCTTATTTAGAGCTTGCATAATGAGTTGTCGGTTGTGTTGTATTTCTCTCATAGACGCTGTTTCATTTGACATTTTTATTCTAGATAAAATATGCTTCCAATAGAAAAGAAAATTCAAGAGTTGCTACAACTAAACCATTAGATGAACTTTTTACTAATGTCGGTCAAAATTTGAGACAGAGACTGTAAAGCATGAAGGCTATCGTTTTGACTACCCATTAAGATGGCTAAGAGATCCATCTGTCACAAAAGCTATTGGCTTTCGTAGAATGAAGTTCATTTCAGAAGCCATACATGGTTTCCCATTTACGGTCGGTTTTGAAGTTCGATACTATAACAAAGAAAAACGTATGTATGAGAAATCTTGAACAGGGAAAACTTTTACAAGTTAGTTTGCTTGTAAACTTAGAAACAACTCTTCAAGCTTTTCAAGAAAAAATAAACGATATCTATATCGAATATGCAAAACAGTATAACATTGACGAAGGAGAATACCATCTCGATATTATTTATGACAGGAAAAATGCAACTGTTAAAATCAATAGAATAGAAGACCTTGGAGAAAACGTTTATATTTCTACAAAATATAACAACTTGGCATGGTATAGATTTATGAGGATGTAAATCAGCCTGCAGCATATCCAGTACACCCAGACTTTTATGAAGTCGAAAACCCTAATGGAACATATGAAAATATTTTCGACCCAGATGCTATTTTGTTCATGCTTCATTTTCTGGTGCGCAAAACTCTTTCTTATGTCTGATGAATGACTTTACGAAAAAACCTACAAAGTTTACGAACCACCAAGTGGAAGTATTTCAGACTTTCAAGTATGGTTTACTACAGATGAAGAAAAAGAATAATTCCATTATACCATGCGTTTTACTTAGAACTTAGTTTCATATACAACTACTATCGAACGGTAAAAATATAATTTTTAATACGGTTGAGGTGTTGGATTTGGTTGCCAACTAGACTGTGGTGCAGGTTCAGGCTGTTGTATAACAGGAGCTTGCTCTTCTGGTTCAGGTCTTTAGGTATAATACCAACGAACTGACCTACCCTTTTACCAATATTTTGACACCGTTCCAAATTCCTCTTCCGACAGATTTTATTCCATTCCATATACCTCTTCCAACATTTCGAAAGAAGTTTCCTATCTTACTGAAGAAACCCATTTTACTATATGTAAAAATCTAATGTCCGCCTAGTCTCTTACGTTTCCTGTTGAGTTCCATAGCATTCTTTAACTGGAGCTCATACATTCTGTTTCTCCTCTGGTAGAAAACATATTCTGGGTCAACTCCTGTGTTCGCGTCATCTGCATAAAGTTGTTTATATCCACTTCAGGGTTTGTATAAAACTCTTTCCATCTCATATTTGCATACCATGGTGGCAAACCTAACGCAGCGTCATTTGACATGGCAGTTTGCATTTGTACATCTGTTGGCACTTGACCATAGTTTGCCATTGCAGTTTGTATTCTAACTTCATTTGGAATATTCTCTGGGTTTGGTTGTCCAGGTTGCTGTGCATTCGCTAAGTTCTGTGCGTCCATTTAATATTAGATAAAAATATCTCTTACGAGTACATATACTGAACATTTGCAGGCATTGGTTCATCTTCATATTCTCTGTACTTTTCTGCCACGTCAAATAAATAAATGACACAATGGAAAAACCTAAAACAAGTAGTCCTATTTCAAACCACATTTACTTACTAATAAAATTTCTTTGTTATGACACTTTCTCCGGTTTATAGGACCTCTCTCATATTCTATCTTGTCATATCTAAACTCATAGTCATGTATGTCCTCTAACCATCTCATAACGGTTTCCAAACCACTTTTATCGGATGTAAAGTAAAAGCATGGATGGTTATGTAAAACGTCTAAAGTTTCTAAAGAGTCTCTCAAAGTCCAGTCTACTTGGTATTGAAAATCCCATGTGTTATAGAACGGCGGGTCCACTATAAAGAAAACATTTTCCTTGTCTTTATATTTTTCATACAACTCTGTCCAATAACATCTCACAAACTCTATACCCTCAATATATTTTTCTATGTCCTCTTTGAAAACATTTGTATAGTTAAGATATAAAACTTTTGACATAAGTGTTTCAATGTCATGAACTCTTATAGAACCACTATATAATAGTCTAGCAGATATACTATCCCAGTCTATATATTCTGCTTTTTTCAAAACCTCTCTCACAATATTTTTCTTATCTAATGGTATACGTTCCATCTTACCTATAGGTATCTTTTCTTTTAACTCTTTCAATATATTGTTTGTGTCTGGTATATGTTTGAGACGGTCCATATAGTTGTCGAAGTCATTGCATATAATCTTTGAGTCTGGGAATATTGTATGGCACAAATGGGATATATAGAAACTTCCACCGAACAAATCTACAAATGTTAGACCATTCGGTAGTTTCTTAAGTTCTCTCAATATAATATCTTTACATTTACTTTTATTTCCAAAGAACGGTAACGGAGGTTTTGTAAAATTCATTTATATATAATAATAAAAATGTTTTTCCCTGAAAAGTGACAGAAAAGTGACAAAACATGAAAACATATATAATTTGTGAAAAGTGACACATTATATAATGTTTTCGACCCAGAAGAAGGCTTCTTCCCAGAAGCAATGGAGGAAGAAGAAGAGTCCTCCGAATTCACACCAGAAGACTAACAATTTTCCGAATAAAAACTTCATTTATACTAAACATCTTCGGGGCTAGAGGGCACGAAGTGCCTGGAAGCCCCACTACCTTTTTTTTTATAATATATTTAAATCTTAGAATGAAAATTCGGGACGCCCTAGCTATTCAATTTTCCCTTAGGACGCCCATAAACCTCTCAAAAATGTGATGTAAATATCACAATTTTGAGAAATTTACACTAGGACGCCTTAGGACGCCAACCCCCTTTTTTACCTTATGAATTGATTAAATAACATAAAATAACATTTATTTTACATTGAAAAATCTTAATTCTATGCAAAACAGTCATAGTATTGGAAGTACAAGAATTTTCTCCATCAACTATTGAAAAAAATTTTTTTTGTATAAAGACTACGTTATGAGAAGGCCCGATCACGCTCTTAACACGCAGCTTGAGTTAAGGCAGCAAGAGAGGGCCTATTCAAGGCATATACAAAGATTAAACGCAATTCAATCTGATATAACAAATACCACTGATATTACACAACATATTGAAAATTATCGAACTACCGCACAAGCCGAAAAGATTAACGCGATTCAAAAGGCAAATTATTTATATAGCTTGATTGGAAATGAGAAGTTTGATTCAAATTTACTACTTTCACCAAAATCACCTAAATCAAAAGAGATTTCCACAGCAGAATTTCAGGCACGGGAAACAGCTACTCGTAAGAAAATGCAAAAACGACCTCCATTTGAATGTGAACTTGGAAATTTGAATGAATCTGGCCTTTCTTCGAGAGTTTTTCTAACTCAAAATAAACCAAAGATTAACAAAGGCAATAGCCGAGGTAATTCTCCACCACGATTGAAGGTTACTCGAGGTAACGCATCTAACGAATCTACTCCATCCAAAGGAGATACATTTACACCCATCAGAACTACTAAACTACCAAAGCATACTAACAAGCCGAATAAGATTGCTTTCGAATATAATGAAGGGGAAATTCGACTTGGATATGACGAACCAATTGAGCAACCAAATATCGAAATATATACAACAAACAGCACTAATCAAGGTTTACCTGTTTTACAATCAAATGGAACTCAAACTAAGAAAACTAAATCTCCTTCGAAGAAAGCTCCCCAAACAGAGGTTGATCCAACTGATCAATATAAGAAACATCCAGAATCGGAGAATGAAGGGTTTACTATGTCAGAAATTGAAAATAAGAAGAATGATCATAAAGATGATTCAATTAACCAGGATATTCTTCTTCCATTACCAAATGATAACGAAGTTACTAATAATAACAATACAAAAGGTTCACCTTCAGCTGCAAATTCAAGTAGATCTAACAAATCTAGTCGACCATCAAGTTATAAACCAGATCCAGTATATACACCTGTTAGATCTAAGTCTAGTGGTAATAAACAAGAAATATTTTCAGAAAATCATTCACCTCCAGATAATTCAACCGAAGTATCTCCACAAGAAATCAGCGAAATACCTGATTTATCACAACATAGTGACAAGCCATGTAGTTCTAGAAAGCCTGCAATTAAAAATGATGATGAAAATGAAGAAAAAGTTCCAAATCAGAAACAAGAATCACAAAAAATCCAACAAAAGCCAGTGGATAGTTCATTACTTACATCACCACAAGAATTCTACATCGAAGAATCATCATCAATATCAGATGATGAAGAAGATGAAAAAGAGGAACCGAAAACTCCTTCTTCAAGAAAAAGTGTCATTACAAAAGGATATTCACCACTTGGAAAGAAACCTCCTGTTCAACAGCTCGTTAACAAAGAGAACGAACAAACAAAAGGCGACAACGATAATTCAAGAAGCTTTAGAACTGATGATGCTTTGCAATCAGATAAAATCGGACTTGATGAAGCAAATGACGATGAATTACATTTCTCAACTAAAGAGAGATTCGAGAATGTCTTGAATGTTTTGGATAAAGCAAATGGAGAAAACAAAACTCCGCTTATCAAAGTTGATGAAGATGAAGAAGAAAACACTCCAAGGAAAAGTAAAGAAAATAGTGGAGAAGGGAGTGCTCCAAACTCAACAAGATCAACAAAGAAGAGACGAAGACAAAGAGTTAGTAATGATAAAGGAATATTCCCAATCATTTCTCCTAAATCTGATCAACAAAATGAAGAAGAAAAGAATAATAATAGTGATCAACAAAAAGAAACTCCAAGACCTGAAAAATCTCCTCATAATACTTCCAAGAATATTAATAACAACCAAGAAACAAATTCAACTCCAAGAAAAGATAAAAACAATAACTTAACACCAAGAAATGACCAAAAAATCAATAATCAAAATAATATTGAAAATGAAGATAAATCTCAAAATGATAATAAACCACAAAATGAAGTTAAACAAAATAATCAAGATAAACCACAAATTGGAGATAAAACACAAAATGAAGTTGAACAAAATACTGAAATTAAACCAGAAAATGAAGATAAACAACAAGATGAAATTAAATCTCAAAATGAAATTAAACAAAATAATGAAGATAAACCACAAAATGAAGATAAATCTCAAAATGAAGTTAAACGGAATAATCAAGATAGACCACAAAACGAGGTTAAACAAAATAATGAAGTTAAACCACAAAATGATGACAAATTACAAGATGAGAAAGAAAGGACACCAAGAAATAATGAAGAGAAAAAGAATAATGAAGAAACACCAAGAGAGAAAAATAATGAACCTAGGAAAGCTTCAACACCATCAAAACCAGTTGTTCCTTCATTAACAGGATTATTTAACAAAGAGAAAAGCAATGAAATGAGTCCTACTGATAGATCACAAAGACAAATTTCTTCAGCTCGTTCTCCTAAATCTCCAATGAAAGTTCCTCCAATACAAGGATTCAGCAACATTTCGAACAAGTCTTCTCCACAGAAAGAAGAGCAACAAGTTATTGAAGAAACTCAAGCTCCAATTTCATTATTAAGTATGAAGAAAGATGGAATTAACAGAGCAATTTCAAGATCTTCTACATCAATTGCTCCTATTTCTTCTCTTAGTTCTGCTTCTTCTTCACCTATTAAACAACTTTCTCCTGAAAAGAACAAACCAATTGATCCTTCTTTCGAAGCAATTGCAGAATCACCTAAACCTTCACCAAATATACAGCAAAATCAAGAAACAAAGAAAGCTGATAAAACACAAAATAATGTTAGTGATTCTAAACCAGGAGAAAACAAAACAGAACAAAAACCTGTTGAAAAATCTAATGCTGATGATTCTAAACCTCTTTCTGCAGCATTAGCAGGAATGATTGCAGCAACACAATCTCCAGAAGAAACAAAGAAAGATGAAAATGAAAAGCAAGCAAACAAATCTCCAGATGAAACAAATAAAGATGAGAAATTATCAAATAATAAATTACCAGAAGAAGCGAAGAGAGATGATAAATCACAAATTAAAACTGATGACGAAAAGCATGCGAACAATTCTACAGAAGAAAGAAACAATAAATCACCAGATGAAGCTAAGAAAGATGATAGTGTTTCTACAAGTATGTTGTCGAATCTATTGAATTCAGTTGTTGATGATAATCCTCAAAAAGAAAATGAATCTAATCAAAATAATGTAGAAGAACAACAAAATAATCAAATCAATGAATCTAAACCATTTAGTGAACTTCTTACAAGTGCTGTTTCTGAACCATCAAAGATTGATGAAGATGACAAACATCAAACAGAAGAATCAAAACATAATGATGAAAATCAAAATCCACAGCAATCATCTCAGAATAATGAAACAAAACCATTATGTGGATTATTAAACAATGTTGTTTCTGAACAAAATAAAGATTCGCAGAAACCAAAATCGAATACTCCAAATCAAGAAAAACAAACTGATGGAGAGAAACCACAAGAGCAATCTCCTAAAGAAAATCAACAAGATTCAAAACCAGAATCTCCTACTTCTTTGTTGGCAAATTCAGTTGCAAATCCATCTGCAACAGAATCACGAGATTTCAACAATTCCCAACCAAATCAATCAACACCAACACAACCATCCACAAAAGATGATACAAATAAAGAATCAACACAACCATCAACACCAAATCAAGAAAATGATAATAAACAAGATAAACCATCCACTTCACTTAGTGGCCTTCTCTCTGGCTCTAATTCCCAGCCTCAACAACAGCCTCAAGCTGATTCATCTAAAGCACAAAAACCATTATCAGAAGAACAAAATCATTCTAAAGAATTACAACAAAGTAATCAGCCAAATTCATCACAACCTCATCAACAGAAAGGAGAGCAACAACCTGTTTCTCTTACAGGTCTTATATCAAATTCACTTTCAAATCCAAAATCTTCACAACAATCACCACAACAACAATTCCAACCAGAAGTAAATCAACAAATTCAAGATCAACCACAACACGAAGAAGATAATAAACAATTACATCCAACATCATCAACAACACCGAATAATCAAGAAAATCTTCAACAAGATCAACACGAAGAAAAAGCTAAAGAATTAGATAAATCTCAACAAGAACAGAAAACTTCACAACCACAACAACAACCACAACTTCAATCACAATCATCATCACAATTATCATCACAACAATCACAACCGAATCAACAGAAACAAGATGATGAATCATCAAAACCTTTATCTAATCTTCTTGCTGGTATTGTTTCATCACCAACAGATCAATCACAAGAAAAATCAACAACATCACAATCAGCAAATACTTCATCTCCATCACAACATCAACCAGAAACAAATTCACAACCACCATCTAACAAAGATCTTTCATCTCCTCAACAAGAGAAAGAACAACAACAGTCACAATCACAACAACAACAGAAACAACAAAAAGATGATAAACCATCAGATTCTAAACCACTTTCAACTGCATTAACCGGACTTATTTCCGCAACAGCATCAACCACATCATCAACACAACCGACACAAGAAAATCAACCAAAAGAAGCATCCAAACCACAAAACGAACCACATTCTCAGACCCAAGAAAAACCACAAGATAAGTCTCAGAATGATTCATCAGCCAAACCTTCAGATTCTTACCAAAATCAGGCACCAAAACAAGAAAATGCTGATGATTCTAAACCTCTTTCTGCAGTATTATCTGGAGTTATTGCAGCTACACAATCTCCTTCACAAACTCAGACTCTTAATCAGCCACAATCAGAATCAAAACCAATAAATAACAATCAACAACAAAATCCAGAAAACAAAGATATTTCATCTTCTCCACAACAAAATAAGGAACAATCTAATGAACAGCCAAATGATAAATCTAAACCATTAGCTTCAGCTCTTTCAGGAATTGTTTCACCTCAACCAACTGAAAAACAAGATTCTCCACAACAGAAACAAAATGAAGAATCTAAACAAAATTCTCCAGAACAAAGCAAAGAATCAGATAAAACTTCATCAACTCCAACACTCAGTGGAGTTATTGCTGAATCACTTGCAAAACCACAAGAAAACAAAGAAAATCCACAAAATAATGAAAACAAAGAATCAATACCTTCTGAACAAAAGTCACCACAAAAGCATCATCGTAAGCATCATCACCATCAACCAGGAGATTCTAATTCAAATGTTCCAACAGAATCAGAATCTCAAGAAGAACTAAATGAAATTAAAGATAATAATGATTCCAAACATCTTTCTTCGGCTATGGCAGGAGTTGAGTCATCACCTTCACAGAATAAACAAGTTTCTCAAGACAAAGCTTCAACAAATGATTCACCAAAATCAGGAGAAACCAAATCAGAACAAAATCAAGATGCTAAATCTAACAAAGAAAATGTTGATAGTTCAAAACCTCTTTCAGCAGCATTAGCTGGAGTTATTGCTGCAACACAATCTCCAACATCACAGAACCAACAGCAAGAGAATGCAGATAACAAAGATATCTCTTCACAAAAAGAAATGAATAAAGAGCAATCAAATAATCAAGACGAAAAGAAGCAAGAACAGAAAATTGATGAACAAAAGCAGAATTCTGATAATAAACCAAATGAAAGTCAGGAAAATAAACCCCTTTCTTCGGTGTTATCTCCAATTGTTAATTCACAACAGCCATCAGATAAATCAACTCCAGAATCTAATCAAGAAAAAACAGAACAGCATCAAGAACCTAATAAAGAAATTAAAGAAAATGAGAAGCAACAAAATCCACAAGAGAAACAAGATAACGAATCAAAACCTCTCAGTGGATTATTGGCTGGAGTTGTTTCTCAACAACAAAAAGAAGGAGAAAAGGATAAGCAACAAAATAAAAATAATTCAAATACACAAATTTCTTCTCAGAATCAAGAGAAATCAGCAACATCTCAACAGAAATCATCGCAAAATGAATCTCAACCAGTCCAACAGCAGCAAGATTCAAAACCAGAATCTCTTACTTCTTTGTTGGCAAATTCAGTTGCAAATCCATCTGCAACAGAATCACGAGATTTCAACAATTCTCAACCAAATCAATCAACACCAACACAACCATCAACAAAAGATGATACAAACAAAGAATCGACACAACCATCAACACCAAATCAAGAAAATGATAATAAACAAGATAAACCATCCACTTCACTTAGTGGCCTTCTCTCTGGCTCTAATTCCCAGCCACAACAACAATCGCAACCTGATTCAACTAAAGATCAAAAGACTCCATCTGACCAAGAACCACAAAAGAATGATCAATTACAACAAAAACCTGATAATAATCAGCCAAATTCAACACAATCTCATCAACAGAAAGGAGAGCAACAACTTGTTTCTCTTACAGGTCTCATTTCGAATTCACTTTCAAATCCAAAATCTTCACAACAATCACCACAACAACAATCACAACCAGAACAAAATCAACAAAATCAAGATCAACCACAACACGAAGAAGATAATAAACAATTACATCCAACATCATCAACAACACCGAATAATCAAGAAAATCTTCACCAAGATAAACACGAAGAAAAAGCTAAAGAATTAGATAAATCTCAACAAGAACAGAAAACTTCACAACCACAACAACAACCACAACTTCAATCACAATCATCATCACAATTATCATCACAACAATCACAACCGAATCAACAGAAACAAGATGATGAATCATCAAAACCTTTATCTAATCTTCTTGCTGGTATTGTTTCATCACCAACAGATCAATCACAAGAAAAATCAACAACATCACAATCAGCAAATACTTCATCTCCATCACAACATCAACCAGAAACAAATTCACAACCACCATCTAACAAAGATCTTTCATCTCCTCAACAAGAGAAAGAACAACAACAGTCACAATCACAACAACAACAGAAACAACAAAAAGATGATAAACCATCAGATTCTAAACCACTTTCAACTGCATTGTCAGGGCTTATTTCCGCATCAACCACATCATCAACACAACCGACACAAGAAAATCAACCAAAAGAAGCATCCAAACCACAAAACGAACCACATTCTCAGACCCAAGAAAAACCACAAGATAAAATCGCAGAAAAGAAAGAAAACTCAGGTGAATCTAAGCCAGACAATAAAGAATCTCCAGTTTCATCTTCACCATCTCCAACAAACCAAGAAAACAAGCCTCTTTCTTCAGCTTTAGCCCCAATAATTAATCAAAATGAGCCTTCTGGTATATCTAAACCATCTGATACACAAGATAAATCTGAAAAAACAGAACAAAAACAAATTGAAAATTCTAAATTATCTGATAAACCAGAAAACAAAGATACTTCAGATAGAAGAATATCTGAAAATCCACAAAATGTAGAGAAGAAGGAATCTACACCACCTCCAACATCATTATCTTCTTTAATCAAAGCAATGGCTGCAAAGAATTCTCCTCCAGAAGAAAAGGAAACTTCTAACAACAAGCAAGAAGACAAATTGACCTCTAAACCAGATGAAGAACAAAAATCAAATGAATCTAAAGAAATTCCGAAAGAAAAACAAAATGATTCCCAAAATAATGAGAAACCTCTTGCTGTTGCTCTCGTTGGAATTGTTTCTCCACAAAATAATAAATATCCAGAACAGAAAGAAATTGAAGAACCTCTAATGAATAAAGAAAAAGAAAGCACCAACACAGATGAAAATGGAAACATAGAAGATATGAAACCTCCAGAAAAACAGGATAAAGATTTATCAAAGTCTGATGAGAAAAAGGAAAATGATAAAGATCAAAATGAAGCAGAAAAGGATCAAGGAGAGAATAAAGAAGGAAAGAAACATCACAGGAAGCATCGAAAAGAAACGCCAGAATCAGAAAACAACTCAACAATTCTTGTTTTGCCAGGCGAAGAAGTCTCTGCATTAACAACCCCAAGTAATACAGTTCCTGCATCTCCAGAGAAATCGCAAGAGTCTCCACAACAGAACAACACAGATAAACCAAAGAACAACGAAGAATCATCACGAAAACATCGTAAGAGACATCATTCGAATGTCACTCCAAAAGAAGATAACAATGAAAAACCACAAGAAAATACTTCACAACCACAAGAAGCAACAAGACCTGAAGAAAAAACAATTCCATCTTCAGACAAAACACCAGAAAACATTTCAACAACAGATCAAGCAAAAGAACAAGAAAATCCAACAAATTCCGTTTCATCTTGTTCACATAAGAAACGTCGACATCGAACACCAGAAGAGAAAGTCTCAGAAGAATCAGCAGAAAAATCTTCAAATAATAAACAAAACAAAGAAGACGATCAAATTCATTCAGCTGATAAACCAAAAGAAGAAAACAAGCAAGAAGAAGAAAAATCAACAATTTATTCCAATAATTTAGAAGAACATTCAGAAAATAACACCAAGAAACCAATAGATGATAATAAGAAAGAAGATATCAAACCCAATGAAGAAAATATAATCAACAATGATGTAAAAGAATCAGAAAGCAAGCCAAGTGATAAGAAATCACCTAATGAAATAGATAAAGGAAATAAAGAAGAGAAAGAACCAGCAAAGTTCATTCCTCCTGCTACTTCACTGACAAATCTTATTCGCAATATGGGAAAGAATCCTCGCGAACAAGTAGATCAAGAACAAGAACGAAATAACATTAATCCAAATAAGAAAGAACTTAAATCAGAACAACATAAACAACAACAAGAACGAGAACAAAGCGAAAATCCGAAAGAATCACCAAAACAAAAGTCTAAAGAAACTCGTCCTCTTCTTATTGTTGCCGCTCCAACACAATCAATATCCAAGCCAGATCCAGAACCAGAAATACCTCATCAAGAAACCGAAAATAATAATAAGAAAGATTCTATTCCAATAATTAATAATACAAAAGAAACTCCTAAATCAGAACCTAAGAATAATTCTAAACAAAATGAACCACAAAAAGTATTATTTGATTCCAAAGACAAAGACAAGAAGGAAAATTCATCGCAGTTGACTCAACAAGAATTAGCACAAATTGATGCAGCTACAGAAAGTGTTAATGACAAAGAACCCCACAAAGATAAGAAACACCGAAAGCATCGTCATAAAACATCAGAAAATAACAACACTACTATTGTTTTAGCTCCAAGTCAATCAACATTAACATCACCACAAACTAAACAAACCAAGCAAATTTCACAACAAGAGAACAAGAAATCCTCTGAAATTTCACAAGAAGTTCTTGACGATCCAGCTGATGATGAAGAGCTTCCACAAACTCCTCCCTTATCTCCTCAGCATGACAATTTCCAAAACAACCAAAAGAAAGTCCGAAAATCCAAGAGTCAGAAAGAACCAACGAAAGCACTTCCATCACTCAAAGTTCAAAGTTTCAACAGACAATCAGAAATTGCTCCATCCAAACAAGGACCAAAGTTCCACTTCTCTACATTTGTTGAATTGGATGCACCTCCAACATCCACATTCTTATCACAAACAGACACTAACGGAATTTCATCATCATTTATCACTAACGATTCAGGTGCTCTCCAGTCAACTACAGGAAGAAGGAGTGGTAAGCGATTTCCATCCAAGAAGAGCTTTTCTAGCCGTAGCAGGATGACAGCACCAGGATCTCCAGCATATGTTTGGTCCGGTGATGTCTCAGATGACGAAGATAATTTCACTCCAAGAGGAGATGGTTTGATCACAAGCATCCGACTTACTCGATACCGCTTCTTGAAATCAAAGAAAGTTATTGATCAAGATGCTAATTTACGTCCTTCATCATATGTTGTTAGTCCAGATGACGACGATGATGCTTCTACCGATGACGAGATTGATGATAACGAACGCAACCAGATGATGGCCTTCTCCGGTCTTGCAGATCTTTCACACGTTGACAGAATCATCAAGAACATCAATACAAGTAATCCAGATGAATATAAATCTACAAGATCATCCACCAAACCACGATCTCAAGCATCAGACACCGAAGAACCTCCTCGTCAAAGCAATTGCAGATTTGTTAACTGATATTCCATTATTTTATTATTTTAATTTTTAAATGTTTGTTTTTAATCTTAATTTTTTAAAAAAAAGTTGTGATACTTTTTACTATTCTTTTTAATCGTCGTTCCTGCTATCAAAAAGTGACTAATATATTATGAAAATTGTGATTTCATGTAAATGGCATATTTTGACACTTTTTTAATGAATAGAATCATTACTTGACAAATGATTTATGGAATCAATTTTTCAGTGGAAATAATCCAACAGATCATACAACAGATACAGTTCTTGTTTATAAAACAGGAAATTTTCATGTTCACGACGTTTTATTTACAAATCACAAGACACAACTTATTAAACTCACTGATAACGACAACAATCGACTTCTTATCTCAAACAGTGTTTTTAATTCCAATCATGGCTCTGATTCAGAAGGTGGCAACATTTACCAAGAAAAAGGTCAAATTGTTCAATATCGAATCTGCAGTATCAATATGTTCCTTAACTCAAATTATATATACCCACATTCATATATTGAAGCAACACAAGATAAATCATACAAAAATTACTTAATTGAATCAACTATCACTGGAAGTCAAGGATATACAGGACCAATTGGTCATGATCATGGTGAAAATATTGTTCGAAATGTAAATATTTCTAATTCACAAGCATCATCGATAAATTCAGTCTACTCTATTTCAGGAAATTCAGATTTAGATTCAACTGTTTCATATTCAACATTTATTAAAAACATTGCTGATGATGAAAGATGTTTATTACATTATAAAAATGGAAATCGAGTTAACCATTGCAACATCATTTCAAATGAATGTTCAATGACATCAACATATTTTAATGGAGTTATTTATGCATCTTACTATGTTAAAGTTTTTATTACAGAATGTATTATATCAAACAACAAAGGAAATTCTCTATTTTTTGCAAATATTGATGCTTCAATTACAGTTTCTTCTTGTTTCATTCCATCAAATAATATTTATAGTTATTACACAACAACAACAGGAGGTAATGCAAATTTTGATATTTCAATAACTAATTCACTTTATTTTAATAATTCACATATATCTACAGCACTTTGTTATGCAGATTATCCATTTTATTATTTGATGAATATTACAACAGAAAAAACGAAATATAAAATAAGAGAAGACACAACAATCAAGGGAACAGTTTCATTTGATCGAAATAAAGAAGAATCATTTACACTTGAAATTTGGATTGACAGTTATTCATCAACTCAACTTAATAAATTAAGTGGCTCTTCAACATATGAATATTCAATCAACATCCCGAGTGAATTATCAATTGGAAAACACAAAATTTATTGCAAGTTTTCAGATTCAAGAACATTTGTATCAAACACAGTTTCAGTTGAATTTGAATATTTATATACATTTTCACTTGAATTAGAAAATCTTGAAAGAAAACAATACAACAAAACTATTGACAAAGGTATCAAAATAAGAGGAAGTGGAATTTATTCTGAAGATTTTTCTATTAATTGTAGTATTGGTGATATCAATAGTATATTCGACGGAACTCTAACTAAAAACGCAGCAACACATAGTTTTACATTTTCAGGTTCCTGTTTTATTCCAAATTCTATTGTAGAAGAAAATAACTATTCAGTTACAGTTTGGGGAACAACAATTAATAGTGGTGAAACTACATCACTACAATCAAAAGAATTTTATTTCTATCGAAACTATCCAGTTCTTGAAGTTACTCCTCTCACAACACGTCGATTCATTCACAACATTGACTCTATTATTTCAGTTTCCGGATTTGTTTCGGATCAAGATTGTGATGATATTGTTGTAGTCTACGTATTTATTGACGGATATCCAAATAGTCAAACACAACAATCAATTTCAACAATTTCTATTCCAGATTTAGAAAAACATCAATTCAACATTTCTATTTCTATTCCAAACAATCTTTCACGTGGTTCTCATAATCTTCTTATTAAATGTTGTGACAAAAAAGATAAATGTGTTTCATCTAACATAACATTTTCATACTCATTCAATGCTCCAATCCTTAATATTACACATAAACCAGCATTTCCAGTTTTCATCAACCAATGTCACACTCTTGAATTCTTTCTTTCAGTTTCAGACAAAGATGGAATGAGTTATATTCGAATCTTCCATGTTCTTAACAACACTCAAGGCAACATTGTCAACATCACTCTTTCTAATGATTCTCAACATGAAACTCAATATTTCATTCCTATTCCAAAAGACATCAATGTTGGAAGTTGTTCTCTTAAATTTTATGCAGTTGATGAATATGATTTAATCTCAGATCATCAATTTATCAATGCTACATTCGAGAAATATACTCAAGATGAATTAGAAGAACAACGAAAAAAAAATAATCAAAAACGAATGAATTTCCCTCCCTTTTTTTATATACTTTCAACTGATTTGCTATAAACATTCTATTTTATTTAATGTTGAATATTAAATCAACTATAACATATATAAGATTACTCATTGAAATTACACATGAATTTAAAATATCTCAAATGAAATTCTGGATGGTTTGACGCTTTAAACACAATTTGAAATAGAAACCATAATGGGTCAATTATGTAGATCAAGACCTAATGTAAGAAGAAACTCTTTGGAGTGACCGAGTTAAGGAAAAAATATAATTCGAAATTATTTGAAAAATTTAATAACAAGTATCTTGATTAAGGTGTTGTCAGGCATATTCTATTTAGAGTAATTAATTACGAATCTCTTTGTTAATGCAATTGGCTTTTTTTATAGAAATTATGTGAATTCTTTTCAATTTCGATTTTGATTTTCTTTGAAATTCCAATTTATCGGGGCATATGCATGAAATTAGTGCAAGAAGATAAATCACAAACATATATCGAAATTTAGTATTTAATAGAAATCTTATCGTTCTTCTGAAAAGGGAAAAGCAAAATAATCGTTTTATAAATGGAACCCCGCGATATTGTCTATCTCGCTCAGACTGAGAATTCCATCGACAGATCTGGCGAAGCAATAAAGCTTATGATACAACTAGCAGAAGTAAAGCCGAATTTTGACCAAAACGAAAGACAATTGTTGGTCCTTATTTATAAGACGGCAATTGATCCAATACGTGAAACAATTAGAACACTATCAATGTACAGAGATTCTTCTAAAGAAAGTGGACAATCTGAACAAGCTCAGATGATCGATGATGTTTGTCAATCTTCTATTCATGATCTTGATGAGCTTTGTGCCCAAGGTCTTGATCTTGTTGACAAAGTTCTCCTCCCAGCGTGCCAAGATCCAGCTGGAATTGCTTTTTATCAAAAACTTCGTGGTGATTTTTACAGATATATGGTAGAGTTTGCTAAAGAAGACAAGATTGACGAAATAAAGAAGAACGCTGATAGTGCATACAGTGCTGCTCTTCAAACTGCTACAGAAAAGTTGCCATCTTCAAATCCAATTCGTCTTGGCGTTATACTTAACTACGCAGTCTTCAAATTCGAACACGCTGAAGAAACTGGTGCTGCTAGAGAAATGCTTGTTAGTGCAATTCAAAACTTCAGCGAAGACTCCAATCAATTGTCAGAATCTTCACATAAGGAAGCTCAGAACGTTATTAATGTTATGCAAAAGAATTTAGTTTCATGGAGTCCCGAAAATCCAGAAGAAGAAACTGTTGAAGAAGGTGAAGAATAAAATTTTTTTATTATTTACGAATTACAAACAAATTATATATGCGTTCACACTACAAAATAATTTTCAGAGTGTTACATACGTTTACATTTTCAATTTTCAAGAATTTTTTGAATATTTTTTTCTAATATTTTGATTTATTGATACTGAAAAAAGGAGAATCGATAGCAAAGAGAGCATTGTATTTTTTCCTCTATTAGCATGCTTTAATAGTTTAATCGATTCTATTTGAGACTTATAACATATTTTTTCCGATAATATAACTTGACATCATAAAACTGAATGAAGTGTTTTGTTAATATCGATGCATTTTTTATTCACGACTTAATTTCGTAAATAAATTATTCAATATACTTATTAAAACCTGTAAAAAATTGTGTATTATGCATTCAAAACGCATCAATTTTATGATGTCATTAAAATATAAAAAATTATGAACAATAACGAATAAAATTTGAAATCTGAAGAAATATGGAAAAATGATTTATGATATTAAATTTCGCAAGTAATACAAACAAATATTTTAATACAAACAAAAATCTATAAATCGCAAGTGACTTTCGCCAAAGATAATTCGCTTTCGAAAGAAGATGATACATCTTGAACTGGACGAAGCTTTTTCATGATAGGATCAATATCATCCGAATAATAATAATCTTCTTCCTCTTCATATGAATAATATTCGTATGCATATGAATAATTATCATTTAAAAGCGGTGTTGTTTCGCGTGGAGTTTTTTTACGAGGGGAAAATC